ATCTGGTGCTGAAGTATCTTCTTTCAGATTATCAATCCAATCCATGAATTTAAAATGGTCATATTCTCCACTTCCTGAGAATGTTGGCCAATCTCCTGGCTTAGGTAGGCTGGAAAGAATTAACTTAGCAAGAGATTTATCTTCAGTATTATTTTCTACATTGGTAGGTGTATCTCTGTCCGTGGTTACTGATTGAGTTCTTCTGATATTGGTACTTGGTTGACTCTCTGGTTGGTGATTATTTGGACTGTTGGTAGTGTCACTTAATGTTGTGGCCAATTGTTGATGAGTATTTCTAGTGGTAGCTTGTAATGCTGTATGAGGTAAAATAATTTCTGGTGGAGGAGTTTTTCTCATATGTTCTTCAATAGTTCTAGTAAGTTTAATTACATTCTCATCTGACTTTCTTTGCATATTAATAAGATGATTAATTTCAGTTTCTAACCTATTGATGGTGCTCTCATATGTAGTGTGTTGAGAATCAATCCTAGCTATACTTTCTTTGATATTTTTATCCATTTTTACCTCTAATACAGACATGTGCCTCCTTATTGCACTTAAATCAGTTTCCTTTTCCGTGATGGAAGTCTCAAGATTTTCCAAGGATGTTTTGAGATCTGTCTTAACTGCATTACTGATTTGTGGCACAATTGTTTCTAAATTAAGGGGCTCACAGTATAATTTCTCAATTGTTTGTAAAATTTGTGATAATGTAGAGTCTTCTTCATCAGACATAGTATTGACTCCATTCTCAATTTTCTGGCACAAAATTCTAATTTCATCATAAACTTTTTGATTCATTTCTACGCATTTTTTACTAATTTTGTTAATATTTTTAATGTAGATATCAAAAGCTAGGTTAAGTTGAGAATTTTGTGTATCAATGTTAAGAGATTGAGTTCTAGATGTACTAATTCTAGGAGTATTTAGAATGGGAATCTGTCTTCTGGGTGCATATCCATCTGTCTTCTCTGTTGATGGGCTATTTTCCCTTGTTCCAGGTGTTGATAATATCCTTGGAGAGAGCGCGCCATTCTGGTCATCTCCTGGTAGATCTGAGTTCTCCATTCTCTGTTTCTGTTTATGTTCCTGGGGTGACGGGAGTTTCTGTTTCTGGGAGCTCTTGGGGGGTAAGGATTCACATCTCTTCTGGTGGGAGCTGGTTCTGGGGGTTGAAAGAACATTCCTGCCGTCAAAGTTCTGGGATCCCAGCCTTTGGTCCTCCTGAGAGCTAATTCCTCTCCTTGGAGTTGGACCATAGCAAGGAAGTCCTCCTGGCAGTATCTTAAATGGGCTACTATGGCTCTGTAGCTGGTCCTGTTCCTCACGTCCTTGAGCCAGGCTTTGTTTTCCTTCATCCTGTAATAGTATCTTTCGAATTTCTCCGCCTGTGGAACTGTTAACAGAAGATGTATCATTAATTGATTGAGTTTTACTATTTTTCTTTTTATTTTTGGGAATAACTGACGCCTGTGGAAATCCTCTGTCTGAGGTGGTCTCTCTGAATCTTCCATTATAACCTCGAGGTCTAAGGGATAAAGGGGCCATTTTTAATGTCAGATCAAAAATAATAAAAGTAAAATAGGTTTCAATTAAAATGTAAAAATAAATGTAATATACCTGAGGATTTGTCAGATATACTAATGTTGTCTCCTTGATTGGTTTCAAGTTCAGAGGGGGCTTGATTTTCACGGATTTGGGTGAATTGGTCTTGGATTCCAAGGTTGGAGACAGCTGGAGTAGTGGTGGAAGAGTTGTTTGCCACTAAAAGAATATGTATGAAAGTGTAATTAGAATTTTTTCTTGATAAAACTGAGTATAAGTCAGTCAAAAACAATTTTTTATCTTACTGTTTATAGTTTAACAGATTTTTATAATTGGTTTTAAGTTGTTTTTATTCTGATACTGAAAAAAATGAGAAGAAATTATTTCTGATGTGTTCTGTTGGTCAAATCAATTCAATCACTATTTGTTTTCTTTGATTTAATGTTTTTCTTACTTTTTATGTGTTTTATATGTTTTTTATAATTTTTTATATGTTTTTAGAGTTTTTTCAAATATGTAGATAGAGTATAAAAACAAAGTACAGTATAAGACTGTGAAGGGTTGAGAATCGCGTGATGTGAGTGTGTGCGCTGGATTCGCTAGGTTCAGGCGGTTAAAATGGTGGTCTAACCTTGTTGATAGCTCAAAAATTGAGTGAGCTACACTCTCTTGAAGTTTCTGCAAGGTCGATGGTCGAAAAACAGATCCGAGGTGCAGTGCGGCTGCGGTATACACTCAAACAAGCTCGCGCGGTGGTAATACGATCGACAGGGCTGTGAAAATCCGGGTGAATAGGATTTAAACTATGTATGAGTGGTAATACAACTTTATTTTATGTATGTATGCGAGTACAAACTGTAATCGGTGTTACCACACACCTGCCGTACAAAAACTGTCAGGCTGTCCTTTTTCAAGGTCTTGCGCACAGACGCTGAATGAACGGTAAGGTTTCGAGGTCTGGGAAAAAAATCTAGTAGAGTAAATCGATGCTTGCGCGTCGAATGGTGTACTCAGATTTTTTGTAAGTCCGCTCCTTCAGGGAGATCGCTAGCGAAAAGCGTCCTGAATCCACAAAAAAGGTAAGAAGAAGAGAAAAAGTTTCAGATTTTAATTCAGAATATTGTTTTGTAAGACAAATAAGATTTTTTGGTCAGAAAAAATTTCGAAAAAATAGAGTGAAACAATTGTGTAGCGTTAAAAAACAGTTATTTTTGGTGTTTTTAGAGATGTTTTACGCTATTGAGGTGAGAAGTAATGAGAGATATGTAAAGAAGTAAGAAAAAATTCAGTCTGATAAGTCTAAAGCGTAGTGCGGGTTGCCAAAGCCAAAATCAGGAATAGTAGTGTATGTAGTAGTGTCTTCTATCAATTCAGACTCGAGGAAATTAAAAGGGGGTACGTCAGGAGGGAGATTAAAAGAGGAAGGGTTTCTGTAGTATTCAGAAATGACAGATTTTACTTCTTCTAAATAGTCTGTGTAAGAGATAACAGTGTTGTCTGGCGCGTAAATAGCACTGGATAGAACTGCACTAGTAGTAGTAGTGGTACAAATCCAGTAAGTATCTCTATAAACTCTTTTAACTACTTTTCTAAGTTCTTGCTCTACTGTAATATTTTCAGGATGGTCCGTGTAATATCTTCTGGTTTCAGCCAGGAGGGAAGGATCTATATGTTTGAAATAAATATTGATATCCTGCATTTACCTTTTAGCAGGCCATGATGAATAAAATAAAATAGAATGGTGTTAGTAAGTATGATTTTTTAATGGTAATGGGTGAAAAAATCACGAGTAAAATGAGGCCAGACCCCCAATTGTCAGCCTCTATGCTACTAACCGGTAAGGGTTGTGCTCTGAGTGTTAACAAGTATGGTAAGTGGGAAGGTTTATTCGTGGTTAAATCCCTCAACCTGTAAAAGAAACAGGGAGGAGTCAGTGAGGAATGGTACTTCTACTGCTGACTCATCCAATTATTTAATTGGGCATCCAGATCAATCCTCTTGTATGGATTAATAGGCTTCCAAGATGAGGACTTCTTCAACTCACTTGGGATTAGTCTTTTAACAACAATCTAGATTAATAAGTGTATCAACACTTAAGGACCAGAATTGTTTAACCTGGGGGATAATTCTTTATGCAATAGAGATAAGTAGATATGCCTTGAATCTGAGCAAAGTAAATCTATTTAGGTCTAAGGTAGCTGGTTTGTAAGGTTATTGGTGGTTTGAATCACTAATAAACACGGTACAAGTGTTGGTTTGATGCTACTAGAATTTCCTGGGGGGAAAAGGTAGGAATCAGGGCTCCTTAAATATTCTACAGGGGGCTCAGGGGAAGAGGAGAGGCCCTCAGGGCACTAGGGAGCTTCTTAGCAGCTCTACAGTTTCGTGTAAGGATGGGAGCTGTAGCTGTGCAGTGCTATGCATGGGTGGAAGGTCCTAGGACATGAGATCATACATGCATAATTGAGTTTTGTGGCCTATTTCTCACGTAATTTAAAGGGCTACATTTACTGTGCAGGGGCTGTGCAATTGTAGAGTTGTTTGCATACGTGTAACTCTGCTTATGCAAGCTTGTGATCATGAGAAATGCATGTCCTTCATGCATAATTCAGTCTTGCATGTAGAATTTGGGCTCCTTTCTCGTGTAGGCTGCTTTGAATTATGCAAGCTTTGAATTAGAGCACAAAAGGGTCCTGATGACGCCATCCAAGAGGGTTATGATGCAATCTGATGCCCTGATGATGTGATCAAGGATGGGTAAGCTTCAGATAAATGTATATAGCTTATTCCTCATCCATTTCACGCTTCTACTAGCTGATTCTTTATACATATGTAATTATTTATGGCTTATAAAATATGTACATAATGTATAAGAATAAACATTGTTTTAATACTTTATTCTAATGATATTTCTGTGAAATCCTAGTGATATTATATGTACAATACTCAAGGGGATTTCACAGTTAATTATAGAATTATTAAATATAAATTATGAATTAAGATTAAATGTAA